GTTCAAAAACTTAATTGAAATCTTCATAGAAAACTAGTCTACAGTTCTGGGAAGCTCACTTTCGATTGTTGGCGTCGACTTGTCTGTTAGACTCTAGCACCGTCACCCTATTAGTGAAAGTGTATACATTTAGAGGTCACGTTCATTTTGATTAATGATTTTTTTCTTATTAGATACCATTTTATACAAACAATGTTTTATTGAAATAATTACGGTCATTGACCGAAAGTAACACCTTTTGTTATTTTTTTAGTTAGGTATTTTTATGGGAAGAAACCTGTATCTATACATATATAATAAGGAGATAAAGTTAGTGAATTGTGAGTTTGTGAGGTTGTAGGGGGTAATCTCTGGATCTACTGAACTGATTTAGTTGAAATTTGGTCAGAAGATAGTTTGAGACCCTGGGAAGGACATAGAATACTTTTTATCCCGGAAATCATCCTTTAAAGGGGTGAAAATGGGGATGAAAGTTTGTGTTGTAGGGACAAATGTGAAAGCGAGGGTGAGGCGCTAGTATTAGGTATTATTGTGCTGTTAGGCCATAAAAGTCCATGTAAACCTTTTAAAAGATGTTTTTTGTATTTGTTTTAATATTGTTTTGTTTCTAAAAACTTAACACTTAGCTATTATTTTAGCGCCTTTTATAGGTAGAAATATTTTGTAATTTGTTAATGGAGTTGCATGTGCTTCATTGCTTTTGTCATAATACAAAATGAATTAATTATACTTCCTATATTTTTTAATTATTAGATACCTAGCTATACCGGATAAAAACTTACATTTATAAGTCAGTACAATTTTTTAAATTACTTAATACATTCTATTTATTACCTCACCACACTGTGTACATATATTATATTGTATTTTTACATTACATTGTGTTTTTAATAAAGCAACCCTTTTGATGACTAACACCTTTTTTTACGTTGGAAATGCATTTACGCACGAGGTGTGGGACTCACCGGCAAAGACAGTACTACCCACTTAAACCCAACAAAGCCTTCCCCCGTCTTAATGGGGTGTCGCAGGATCGCTTACGCATTCAACTACGACGCCCCGACGGCAGGTCTGCCAAAGCAGACCACAACAACCACGGGGTTGCTCCAAGGTCCACTCTGCTATCAGAGAGGACCAGGAGCAACCCGCATGGTACACCGTCCCCCGAAGAGGTCCACCTCCCACCGCCCACCGAAGCGGGTCACCTCCCTGTGCGTTTCTTGGCTTCACGCCCGGCTGTATTGCAGGGCACTACTGAGCCCCCCCACCACGACAAGGTGAACGCACGTTGGAGGGGGGGGGGGGAACTAACTAACACCTACTTATTCTAAGCCAAGCCGGACATCTTATAAATTATAATCCAAGCGGTTACCATCTTACTAAGTACTATTTAAAAGTTAATGAATATAATGCTATGTTGTGTTCAATGACATCATTACAGGAAGAACTGAGGTTTAAATTAGAGACAAAAAAATCAATAACGGATTTAGTTTTTTCATTACGCAAATTATGTGATTTCCGCTAGCGGTCTCTTTGAGCTTTTATATTGCGGCGTATATACAAAACAATGACACAGTGCGCATTCGTAACTGAATTGATTACGAATGAGGCCTTCTATTTATAGCTAAATACTTCGTAACCTTTAACAGGCACTTACTTATTATATTTTAATATAATACGTGCTTGGACAGTGCTTTTGGCTTCAAACGTAAGTTTTATTATTAGAGGTAAGAGTAAAATCTGAAAATAAGAAAGTAATAAAAAATGGGATTTCAAAATCTATATAAAAAGTTTGGAAAGTTCGGCGAGAGCTAATTAACATACGTAGTTATTTTACACAAAAACCTATTCTTACAGAGTACTAATAGAACACATGAGTATATACGTATCAGAATATAAGAAAGATTGTGCGTCGATATGTTATTAAATAAGTTTATTTGATGAATATATTTATATATTTTTTTTAAATAATTTTATTGGTTAATTGATACATGTTTTATTATTCTCGTCCAGCAATATAATACTGTGCTGAAATAATTGTCTTTAACCCAAGTCCAAAGTAGTTGCAAAGACAATTATGTAAATGATTGAAATGATTTGATTCATAGAAAAGAATGGTTGAAAAAGAAAGAATGTGTTGGGTACATCTTATGATCGTCTCATTTTGCCATTTTGTTCTTGAACGGCTTTCATCTCGCGCCGCCATAGTTACAGTAACGCCCCATCGCCTGCACCAATGCGCGTGCGCACGTAATGACATGCAAAATTACCCCTCGCCATTCCAGCAAATTATGGCAAGCTACAAAAGTGGGTATATAATGTATGCCTTTTACTGTATATAAAATATCTTAGATATTCATTTAATTGCTGATTTTTCCCTGTGCTATTTTAATTTATTTAAATTTGCTATCATTCCTTAGTTCTGATCAAAATTAAGGTCTAGCTACTCTGTATCAAAAAAACATGAATATAATTGTTTTTTTTGATAAGTAATTAAAATGATAAGAAATTGATAAAAATAAAATAATAATACTTTCTTAGATTTACGCGAATACTTGACATTTTAAATAAAACTATCTTTTCGGATTTTTTCGCTAATTTATTTTGATTTTTGGTTCCCGACGTTTCGAATGCTTTACAGCAATCAGGGTCACGGGAGAGTCAACGTCGGGAACCAAAAATCAAAATAAATTCGCGAAAAAATCCGAAAAGATAGTTTTATTTAAAATAAAATAATAGATTATAATTATGAATTGTACAATATGAATTTAATGTATTATTATTTAGTTCGACATTTTACCAGTAACTATTTGTCATGGACGAATTAGAGACTGGACCTGACATAAAATACAAATGTATGAAAACTAGTTCAACCAAGTGACGCATAACGCACACAAAGATTTTATTACATTATTATAAACACTGATACACAATACAATATTTCTAGTGTTTGAACGTAATCGATAAAATACATATATCGATGAACCAATGAATGACATTTTAGACATTGGTTAGCATAGTCATCATATTTTACATCTTTTAATTTAAAATATCTGTATTTATTATAATAAATTAAAATAAATGAATTAAAGAGGCAATAATAATGTGTCAAATAATAATTATTTTTTAATTTGATTTATATAAATACGATGGCATTGATGGCAACATTCTGTTGGCCTATATAGAAATAAAATTATCTTTATTATTATTACAATGGAATAATATTCCAAAGTATATAAATGTGGAATAAAATAAAATATAAAATTAAGTACAAATACTAATTATAATTTTTGCATATATATTTTTATTTGATTTAGAAAATATTTTTATAAATTTATTGTCATCAGATTGTAGGATACTGTGGTAAAAGTATTTTATGTTATTGTACTGAACAAATAACACAATTCGTTTAGTTATTTCGTCAAATATCGATATATTTTTCGACATTGTCAAGCACTAGTCGATGTCAAATGGACTCACTCGACAGTTTTGTCATTTGTTCTGAATGGTATAATCCAGCCCGTTTATGATGGTTGTCAGATGTCAACAATACATAGAAATATCGACTATATTTAACATATTTGGATAATATGACATTTTATTTTACATTTAATTAAATTTTGTGATAAATAACAATAAATGTAATAAAATAATGTATTTACAAGTGAAAAGAAATAGTGCTGCTTCCGCCGTTATAGTTTTTACACCATTTAACAGAACATTTAGTCATTTTTGGGAGACGTTTTGTTGACAAGTAAGTGCTTGAGACTGACACAAAAAACAAACGACCTAGGCTAAAATTCCCTGGTTACTGACATGACCGTTAAAGGTACGTCCGCTTATATGTCTGGTCCAGTGGTTAATTCGTTCATGCTATTTGTATACGATGCGAAGCTCATTAGTAGCTTCATCTTGGTCCCTGAGGCAAATTGTTTCGTAATTTCGTCCACAAATGACACAAATTACAAGTATCGACAGTCGGAATGTCATTTTATAAATTACACATATTATAAGATTTTCATGATTGGTTCGATCACGCAAAGACAGGTATGTTGCTAGATACTCGTACTCCTTTTGGTTATTGTGATAATATTAGGTATGTTATTTGTCACGATTTTTTTATGTGCATAAGGATTGGAACTAGTTGACATGATTTGTTGATATTTTTACTGTAGTGTCTTTCTCTGTGTAAGTTAAATGAGTTTCGGTACAGCAGTGTATTACCAAAGATTTTCAATAATATTAGAAGTAGGTATATGAACAAGTTCTAGGAAAAATAAATAGGAATTTAACTATTTACGTAAATAGCCACCGGAATAACAATTATATAATCAAAATATGGATATTGTACCTATAGTGAAGTACTTTTGTACTTTTGATATATAAAATAAAAAAAAATCTAGTTTATTTTAGATCTAGAATGAAAGATAAAATCAGTTTCTGTTTGAAATTTATTATTTATATTCTTTTATCATGTGCATTTTCTATTAAAATCCTATTATATTTTGAATTTTATGTTCCTACTTTAAAAATCGGGCAAGTGCAAATCTGACTTACACTCAAAATTCATATGTGATGTCACACCAGGGGGGTCCCACAGCACAAGACACAAGTGCACTCTCTATTCCTATCACTCTCATACTCCGGTGGGACGACCACTCGACACGACCGGTGAGAGTTAACGCGCAGGACCGACGGCTTTACGTGCTCTCCGAGGCACGGGGGTGAAACACCGCCAACTTCCCAACTCCGGGCTGTTACTGAGACTTACTATACAGGAAGACTCAATAACTAAACTTGGCCCGACCCGGGACTCGAACACTCGAACCCAGGACCTCCGGGTGTGCAGCCGTACATGCTAGCCACTACACCACCGAGGCAGTTTATGACGTGTGACGTAATATTTGGATGGTCCCTAAAACACATACCTACCTACTAATTTTCAACAATATACTTACTCTGAGATACGGACAGACGGACATGATGACATTATACCGTTATACGAGTTCCGTTTTTGCTTTTTGACTACGGAACCCTAACGTAATTTGCTTAGGAGGTGTCCTTTCATACACTTGCATCATACTGAGAAAATCTACCACCTGACCTTTGACATCGAAGACTGCAGACCCGATTCCTGAACGAAAAAATGTTTATGAAATAAAGAGTATTTATCAGATATTCCTATAATTTTTGACATTGAGCGTAATAATTTCAATATCAAGGAAATTATAATTACTTTTTGACAAAATATCCCTTTACAACCGGCGAACTTATTTTTTATTTTTTCGTGTATGATTTATGTATTCTAGTTATTTAGGCTTCAAACAACCTAAAAAAAATATTTAAAAAAATTAGGTACCCCCCTATTTTTAAAAAAAGTACCCTCACGATCGTGACGATCAGGATTAAATTGACTTACGTACGATGGTGATTTTTTAGGAAGCAGTTGGGTTAATGAAATAAAAATCTAGTATAATCAATTTCATTTATATCCGTGATTAAATAATTTGGTAATCTATACATAAGTCTTTATAATTGAGCACATATTTTTGGTTTAATTATACTTGTATGTATTAAACTTATCTATATTTGTATTTATTATATAATCTGAGCAACTTCAGCATATAAATTAGATTAAACCTTTGAAAACATAAAAATAACTAACATACTAGGAACCATTTTGAGATCAATTGCAATATCTAATAATTTTATTTGTAACATACAAATAAAATTATTAGATATTGCAGTTCGCATGGTATAATCGGAAATAATCTTTTCCCCGCGACATGCACAAGTAAACATCGTATTTACACAGCGAATTTTGCTCCTATTTGTGCATGTCTGCAGGAACGTTGAGCCGATAACTGTGCAAAGGTTGGCAGATGATCATATCCATCATATCTCTTTGCTTGCTTACTCTCCAATGTCTTGCTGGCATATACTTGAAAGGCGGTGCCTCATCTCCAGTATCTGTGTCTTGACTTAATCGGCGTTTGCGGTCTGGAGTACTCAACCAAGCATCTGCTACTTCCATTTTAAAGTTCAGAAGATCTATTTTTTTTTTCGGAAGTTTATTAGCTTCACAATCTATTTTATACTTCCGCCATGCATTAACTACAAGCTAAATCCAAAAAATGAATGATTACCTTCAGAGTCCACTTCCTCGATTTTATGAAGACACGCTATTAATCCATTATTTGATCCAAAACATCCACTCCACCCATGTGACTAATATAATTGCTAACTACCCTGGGAATAATATTATCCTTGTAAGATTTTGTTTATTTGTCCCATCGTTTAACGTAGTCTTGATGTTTAGCACCAGTACAATTGGACGCCATCAACATAGCTTTATTATCTTCCGTTTTTACTTGGGTAGTAAATATTGGAGCAAATGAAAAATAATGGATATTGGAGCAGCCAGTCCGATGAATTCCTTATCAAAATAGTCATAAATATACTCACTAGGTGTCTTGACTGGTCCTGAGGGTGGACTTGGGTAATTATGATCTTTATCAGTAAATAATGATAGCCTCCACATATCAAATGACGAACAGACGTATTTTCAGTAATTACCTCATCAGAAGACAGTTCCCAATGTGCTGGAGGAACCTTCTGGATGATATTCATCACTAAATTTTTGAAAAAGGAAACGATCAAATCCTCACCTTCGTCGTGTAGCACCTCAATATTAAAGAGCATATCTATTTTGCAAGAGGTCCAAAACCTCTTCATCCCTCAAAACTGCGCCTAAAATTAATATAAAATTATAAAACTTTACATGTACTGTCAAAAAGGAGCTTTAGAAAAAATACATTTTTCGTAATTATAAATGAATTAAAACCCGGATTATCACGATCGTGATGATGTAAGTTTGAGAGATCACAAACAAAAGAACAACTATGCTATCAAAACACAAATTACGGCTTTGTGTTAAGTATTATCTACATTAAACTTTAATAACAAAAAAAGATGTCAAGCTAAGAAAAATATAGTAAAAAAATGTACTTATGTGATCGAGACCCATGTCCAAAATGCGCTGCCATCTTTGTCGACGGTCCTTCGACCACTGGACACATTACAACGTGTCCTTTTAATTTTTGAATAAAGCGTATATATCAACATTATCGTGTGAGGCCGATTGCGTTCACAAAAACAAATACATTTTGAATTAGAATTTTTTTACCAAATGTCACGCTCGTATTGAATCGGTCGTAAAGGGATATGTAGGTACCAAAATAAAAAATGTAAATTGTACATACTTAATTCCATACTTGTCCAGCTATAATTGATAAGACAACAACACTAACTCAAAATATAGTATTTTATCGCGTTGCTATTTATATATAACAATATGGGCTGAATAATCTTTAATGTTCAAATGATTTATATCGAACTAGCGGACCCAACAGACGTTGTCCTGTCTACACGTCTTTAATTTGAAAATTTCAAACTTTTTTTTAATAATTTTTTTGATGAAAATTATTATTCAAATTGTGAATCTAAACCATTCCCAGATCCCCTTGAACACACACAAAAAATTTCATCAAAATCGGTCCAGTCGTTTGAGAGAAGTTCAGTGACATACACACTCACAGAAGAATTATATATATAAAGATATTTATTTTGCATCAATCTTTTAATAATGATCTGCCATCTATTGGTGAGTAGGAACATTAATTTACCAACCTATTTTCTATTTCCATTTATTTTGGTGAAAAATGCACCATATTTCTCTTCATTACAATTTACTCTTTTACATTTTTCAATAATTAAGTAAAGTATGTTTTTATTATATCATAATAAATAATAATATATGTGTATAAAACTTATAATTTTTATATATAGCGCCATCTGTACTCAAATTGTAAAACAAACTCGAAAGTATAATTATGAAATAGTTATATACTGTAAATGTAGATGGCGCTATACTATAAATTCAAAATAGAAATTATCAAAAAAAGTCATACATATATATAGAAAAAAAGCGGAAGACCATCTAGCAATAAAGAAATAGAACTGGAAGCAAAAAACATCGCGGTCTCATGAAATATGTAAGAACCTACTTCCAAAAGACAGAAAAACATTGTGACAGTACAAACAGATGCAAACTTCCCGAGTGCGAAAGTTTTTCCAACATAGAATGTATCAAATGCAAAGTCAATAGATACACAATCAGCGACAAAAAATGTCCTTAGCGAATGAGCGCTCACATGAACATTTGAGCGCGCTTTTAATTTAATTTGTTTTAGAAAAAGAACTTTAAGTATTGTGTTTAAAGTTAAATTTACGTTGTTGTATATTTATTTCAACTAGAATAATTACCTAAACTCAATTGGTGACAGTTTTAAGAGAACTTTTGCATAGGATTTTGTATCTAGTACTTTTTTGGGAAAAATAGGAATTGGCTTGCGACATTTCATTAAAAGAAATTGTTGTTTCACTTGTATAAGTGATACGGAGAAAATATAGCACTGGACGTATAATGTTGCGAAGCTAATTGGAAACTATCAATTTCTTTTTAAAAAAATATTTTGATATGTGACCTACATTTTTTAAATTATATTTCCGGGTATCACATACATCGATACATATTCATGTACATCGAATTATCTATCCAAAAAAATATTTTTATTTCAGAACAATACAAAACCTATTTTGTTAAAAATTATTTATCATCGGTACTAGAAAGAAGTGTAGGGAAAAGACAAGCATATTTGTACCTATAAATTCTATTATTACATTTTTGCTTTATTCTACACAAGCGACTCACCCTCCTTTCGTTCAGGTTTGTTCCTAGATATTGAGTCTTCCTGTATAGTAAGTCTCAGTAACAGCTCGGAGTTGGGAAGTAGGCGATGTTTCACTCCCGTGCCTCGGAGAGCACGTAAAGCCGTCGGTCCTGCGCCTTAACTCTCACCGGTCGTGTCGAGTGGTCGTCCCACCGGAGTATGAGTGTGATAGGAATAGAGAGTGCACCTGTGTCTGCGCATACACTTGAGCACTATAATATCTCCTGCGCAGTTGGCTAATCTCATTGAGATTGGCCGCCGTGGCCGGAATCGGCTAGGAGAACATCATCATCATCATGTATAGATACACTTATAGATTTGCATAAAATATATTATAATATTTAACCTTAGCCGTTATGGTTTTTCGAAGCACATCCTTCAATTTTTTCGCAATATACAAATTAACTCACTTATTTGTCACTAATATCTGAGACACATTTTACTTTAGCGATCCTTCTCCTTTGTGTGCTAAGTTTACTATGTTTTCTTTTTTACAACGTTTATTAATGCTTTGTTATTCACATTGGTATCCCGTGTCCGATTAAGCTGACATTTCTCAAGCTTAGCTTGTTTTACATAGATGTAAAAAAAAATTGTTTTCTGTTTCTGTACCTAAAATATAATAAATAAAACAAAAATAAAATACCATATATGGAATAGAAATAATCTGATGCCATGTCTATAGAACCATAGGAATTTCGTTGCACATCCATTTTACAAATAAAAGCTCGTTTTTCATAAAAAATCTCAGTTCAAAGATAAAAGTCTGCGCTTTGAATTTTCTTGACGGTTATGCAAAGTAAGAACAAGCAACAAGTTTATAATATTTGTATTACAAGACGTGATAGCACTGTAAAATTGTGATCCAAACAGCTCATTGCATTTTAGATCTTATTCCGAATGAATAAGGTAAATTATTGTATAAACTATCATATGTTATGTTTAAAGTGCATCGAAGCACTGTCATGCAGTTACCTGGTATAATTGAATCTTGATGACGAGATGAGTCTGGCCAGTGGATAAATTGCTGCCTACATGCACCGGTCTAATTAGACTACCTTAGGTATATCTTCTGACGTAAAGCAAAATGTAATTAGGTCAGGTAAACTGAACACAACAAAAGGAATATCCTGAGAATCAAGTGAAATGTCTGTAAAAAATATTTAAGCGAATATTTTTTTCTATACTAGCGACTCACCCTCGTTTCGCTCGGGTTCGTCCCTAGTAAAAAACAAAAACAAATCTATCCCACGGGAATCTTACATTTTTCTAGGATAAAAAGTAACCTATGTGCTATTCCAGACTGTAATCCATCTCTGTTCGCATTTATAATATTAATGTGGTAATAAGGGGATTAAATATTTATAGTTATTTTAAATATACCTAATAAGTATTATGTATATATTATAAACGCGAATGTTTGTGAGGATGAATGTTTGTTACTCTTTCACGCAAGAAGTATAGAACGGATTTTGATAAAACTTTATAGTAATTTAGTTTATACATCAATGTAACACACAGGCAATAATTTTTAAAGCTATAGTGATACATAATTTAATTAAACATGTGGAGCCGTGAGAAAGCGCCAGTTACGTAAATAATTATGAGTGAAATGTAGGCCATCGAGATGACCATTTTATTTTATCAAAAGAAATAAAAGGGGCACTATATAGAATTTTTACGTCGATACCGTCATTTTCGTAATCACCACACTATGGAACGCTCTTTACGGTTATGTAATATTTTCTATTCTGCTATTTTTACAGATTGGCATGAAATAACATTGTATTTTAAACTTAGGTTTTCAAATATTAATGTTGTTTACTTTTTGTTTGATGAGATGGTATACAAAAAATGCAACGATTGATATCTTTTCTAATCTGTATTTGATATCTTCTTTATCATGTTCTGTTTCATATGAAGTACTATATAAATTATGATAATATGATAAGACGTGTTCCATCTAATTTTCTTAAAGTATCTATAATAAACGTAAAATGATATCCTACTTAACAGAATACTGTATTTATTGCATTGTCCATAAAAAAAATTGGTACATGTGGGAAAAAATCAATAATTTACTAATGATCTTCTCTTCGTTCTATAATTAATGTACTAAATCATATTCTTAAGGCTAACATTTTTCTTGCAAAATATGTGTTCCATCAAGTGTATTAATCAATAGTCCAATCATTAGACTATCTTCACTCAGATAAATAATAAATAAATATGTTGGGACATTACCACACAGCACCATCTAGTTCCATGGTAAGCTACGAGGCTTGTGTTATGGATACCAAATAGTTCATACACTACACATATATAACTTTAATTACATACATATTATAAATATAAACACCCATGACTGGAGTACAAACATTCGTGCTCATCACACAAATGAATGCCCCCAGCGGGATTCGAACCCGCGACCGCTGGCACAGCAAGTAGGGTCACTACAAACGAAGCCAAACGTGTCGTCAAGATAATGTATGGTTCAATCGCATTATAGTGATATTTTTAGAAATCGTATTCCTTTTAGATGTCTAATGGCATTTACAAGTACCCTTATGAAAAAGGAATGTCAATTAAAAACGTAAAGTGCTTAATTAAATTTCGTACGCTCATTTGTTTAATTCTTCGTCATCGTCGTTCGTGTCTATATAATTGTGTGAATTGATAAAAGAATTCTATGAAGTAAATAAACCGACTGGAGTACGTTTTAAGTACTGTATGGAAGGACAGTAGTCTAACGAAAATATGTTTAAGCAACCTAGCAGTTTTTTTGAATTTCTCAGGCTAATTATCTATAGTATACAGGGACATTTTTAATTTACTGAAAACCTTTTGGGAATATACTATTTACATCATAACAACAACATCTGTAACAAGGAAAAATTATATTTCTTAAATTTTTATTTTCATACAAAAATAAAAATATTTTTG